AAAAAACATTGAATTTATTTGTTTTTTAACAGTTCGGTTTGTGTTTTATGCATTTCTATTGCAACTGGTACATCCTGCGACATTAGAGAGAAATGAACAATGATAATTCGTCTCTTTAGGACTGCATGATACGCAAAGACCTTTGCAGTCCAGAAGCCATTTGTACCGGTAGACGTTGTAAATGTGTGGACGGGTTCACAGGTGCGACAAGATTACTTGTAATAGAGAAGGCTAGTTACTGACCAGTGATTTCCCAGGTGATGGCATCAAATGTGTGTCCCTCTACCAGCGATCTGTGAATTGCTCTGAATGCGATCCAAATGCTCACTGCGATGATGGAATGTGCAAATGTAATGTGAGTAATTTACAATTTAGTAAACTAAATAATTTTCTTTGCTTATTCCCAACATGTGCTCCCATTTGACACTTATTACGGACTTTGCCGCGTTGCGTTACACTGCATGAACTTGTGGATGCATAGTGGCACATTTGCGCTAATGGTCATCTGGGGGCACACATGCTTACAGTTTTTTTTTACTGTTTAGAGATAAGATCATGAGTACAAGGAGATGGTTTTAGGTTGGTTTCTTCGGCAATGGTTTATGCTGTGTGCCTGACCCTCGTGACTGCGTGCATTTCACAGGAGTCTGCAATCCGGACGCGACTTGCGATCGAGACGCGCGACAGTGTAAATGCAATACAGGTAATAATTTTCAGAATAGTTGAAGCACAACTAATCGTATGTCAAAAGACAATTCTAAGCAGGGATAATTGGTAAGCACAAAAGTTTTTTAATTAACGATCTTAGAGCTTTACCAAGTAATTCTTAGGCCGATCGACCTAGTATAGACATAACAAATTTGAGAGAAGCTGCTCAAATTAAATAAAAATAATGGTTCAGCGTGAGTGGTCATCGGTAAAAATCAAATTGTAAAAATAATGTATGGCAAACCGAGGAACGCTTACAAAGGGTTTGCCTACGAGCCCGGCTCTGGATTTCATGCATAGTGTGCAATCACACTATGAGCATTGCGCAGTCATTGAACCAAAAAAAA